ACTAAAAAACGACCTGTTCTGGCTCAATCCACCATAATGACAGGTGATGATAGTACTTTACGTCACTGTGTTTACAACTTGTTGCACTACCACCAGGTGGCAAAACAATCAGTTGCCATAATTAACACTAATCAACAGTTTTACATTAGTCATGGATTAAATGACGATGTGTACTGGACTGTACCCCAATTGCTGTTCCACTGGTGTGCGTGCATGTGTCTGAATGTCTTTTTTCTGTTTCTATTAAGCAGTTGGCATCTTAGCCTCTGCTATTCAGTGCATTAATGTGTGTGAATGGGGTGAATGTGATGCAGTGTAAAAGCTCTTTGAGTGGTCGGAAGGAATGGAAAACTAGATTTAAATTCATCATGTGGGCAGAAACACAATTCCAAAAGAGCATTCATGTTGCTCTGTGTCAGCTGGATGTAAATAAACAACTATTTTCTAACAACTTTAAAGCTAATAAAGTTAGTAATATTAAAGTATGCTAATTCTGTATGCCAGTTTTGTGTTTTCACTTTGTCCTGCTGCCCCCAAGTGGCCGAAAGAATAAATGAACCTACTTTAAAATATTCACTTGTACACTGGATTTCAGTTATCTTTTTTTTTTCTTTTCTTTTTTCCAAGTGGAGGTATCTGCACCCCAAACCTCCTCCTTTATCCAGACTTGGGACTGAAACAGATTGCGCTGGCTTGCGCATGTTCATTGCTTTTTACTGACATTTAGTTTACTTTTCAAAGTAAACTAAATAAAAGTAGAATGAATAAATGTGAATGCAGGATTAGACAAGGATAAACAGAAAATGACATTCCCCTGACAAAGTGTGTGAGATTGAGCGATAGTGTCGGTGGATGGACGCAGGTGGAGCAGATGCTGCAACATTAACAGCGGTGTCTCGACTTGCTGGAACACGGCAGCTGCCTTCCTCCAGGCAACTGCTCTCCCACCCATCAACGGGCTGAATGTGGCCGGGATATATTAGTTCTTTTACAGCAGTTGACATTATCACCCCGCCTCTTTGGTAATGATATACACATCCATACATTGGTTTGCCATAAAGCTATATTTCACAGTGATCATTTCCTCACATTTTATCTCAGGATTCTGAAGTGGTTGGCATTTATCATTCTGTTGAAGGACGATACTTACAAATTAAAATCCTGTCAACACACACTCAACCCCAGGGCTCTGGAAAATACTGGATCATGTTTCATACTGATTCATTACAAGATGTAATGAAAATGCATAATGATTCCTTAAGATTTCATGTCCAATAACTTGTGAAGGCAGATACTTTAAATATTTACCGAACATATGTGAAATTGATTGATTGAAGAAAACCTGAACAACTTGAAATAAATTACTTCCTTTCCAATTTTAATAATAAACATATTTATTTCCATGCCCCACCCCTTTTGTTTTTTTTATTTCAAATCTGTGCAATGTACATACATCTTTTTAAATGATCCATTGTTATACAGTAATTAATAGTGTCTAACAGTTAAAATAGCTGCACTAGCCCACTACAACTTTGAAAATCCTACTTACAATACTATAACAATGGAACACTAAATTGGGCCATTCTGCAAAAGGAGTACTTGTTCAAACGTGTGTAATTTCAATTAAAGGAATAGTTTGACATTTTGGTAAATATGCTTATTCACTTTCTTGCAAAGAGTTAGCTGAGCAGGTTGACACCACTCTTATGTCTGTACAGTAAATATGAAACAACTGCCAGCAGCTGATTAGTTTAGTTTAGCGTAAAGACTGGAGACAGGTGGAAACAGGTAGTTAAAACAATCTGCCCACCAATATTAATCTCCAATTCTCATGAATTTTTCTGTGCATTTCCCAAAATTTCAACTGCTGAAGTCACTTTGTAGAGCAAAAAATGTTCCAGACGTACCGTAGATCCAGCTTGTGAGGATTTGCTGCTTTCCTTTGTCTTATTTGATGACATAGTGACCTAAAAAACGATTCATCCTCTGCATTTAACCCATCCCTAAGGGAGCAGCCACTGTACACCGCCCGGGGACCAACTCCAGATTGCAGTGCAGTTTCTGGTCAAACGACACTGACTGGAGAACATACCTAACTATTTGTTTTTTTGATGGTGGCACCGGGGCACCAAGAGGAAAGCCACGCAGACACGGGGTGAACATGCAAACTCCAAACAGAAAGGCCGGAATGTCCGTGGTCCTATCCACTAGACCACCGTGCTGCCCAAATACCTCACAAGCTGAGCAGTACAGTATATTAGTTTCTTAGCTGGACCAGGTTTAGTCAATGTGCTGCTCAGAACACACCTGTGGACTGGCCATGCCTAGCCAAAAAAGCTTTGTTTATGCTCAACGGTGTATCCCCTCCATTCTTAACGTAACGTGTTACTTTATCTAGGTAAAATACTGTGCTTATTATCTAATGTATACTCCGAAGTAATAATGTGCGGTATATCAGATTTATCCTATTTCAAAATACAGTTTTACCCGGCTGCTTTAGTTCATTCCTCCACTCGTCACGTCACTTGTGCACATTATAAAAGCAATTTCTCATTTGAACAATTGCTTTGGCACATTCATGCAAACGATTACAGGTATGTAGGTACTATTGTCTGCTGTTTTCTACATTATCAATTGCTCATGTCATGTTGATTTCAGTGTATTATAGTAGTTCTCAGTTGAATAGTCTTACCCTGAAAAAACATCAAGGCATAAGTCACTACAGGCAAAATGGTTGAACACGTCATAATCTGTCCAGCATATTTTCCATACATGTCTATTAGACTTTTTTGTAAATGTGTCATGACTAGATGAAGACAGCTTTTGTGACGTGAATGAGAATCTGAGCCCTGACAGACAGAACATCAGCCTGAGGGCTGTTTCCCATGTTTCCAAATCACTTTATCTGAGGGGAGGCCCACATTAAAAACCCCGGCCTTTCTGTGTTGAGTTTACATGTTCTCCCCTTATCTGCGTGGGTTCTCTCTGGGTGCTCCAGCTTCCTCCCACAATCCAAAGACATGCAGGCTAGGTTTGGTGTCTTGGGTGTGAGTGTGACTAGTGTGTGTGTACAGTATATGTGTGGCCCAGCGATAGGCTCGTGGCGCAGAATCATTCCCCCTCCCAATTTTTCTAGGCACCTACTCATAGATGTATAAGATGAGGGAGTTTTTCCCCCTTACTTTGTTGAATTCAGTTTGTTTTTAAGAATTGGCCGAGATTTGAGTAACTAATAATTTGCCAGCAGTATCAAAATGTTTACAGGATATTCAACCTTTGTTTCATTACAATACATTTGTTGTTCCAGATACTTGACTTATATAAGATTGTATAACAGCAATAAAGTATGTCCATGGATAGATATGAGTTAAATACAGTTCTTCCTCAGCAGGAACTGTACACCAGAGTGTGCAGCCATTTCTGGTCTTTGGCATTCTTCTAGTGACATTGGATGAATTCTTCGCAGAATCTTTGGTTTGTACTCTCCCTAGCGTGTCAGAGAATACTGCAATGGATAGCAGAAATAAGAAAATAAAAACAACCCCACGTTTCTTTTTAGCACTGTAGCCAGGAGAGAAAATCCATCATCTTCAGAATCAGGAACCTTAGAAACAACTGGAAAACCTGATATATATTTTGATGTCTGTGCTCCCATTGATCTTCGCCAACTAACTAAAGATTTCTTCATCTAAACCAGTGGCTCTCAAACTGGGAGCGTGAAAAAGTCAGATATCCACTGATCTAAACCATCAACCTGTCTCTTGGACCCCATCCCTACTAGGCTGCATAACTTAGTTAGCACGTCTTTACTAGACACAAACAATCTGTCCTGTCTTCAGGGTTTGTTTACCAGTCCTGTAAAGTAGCTGTAAGTAAACCTCTTCTTAAAAAGCCCACTCTTGATCTAGGAGTTTCAGCCAATCTAGATATATCTATATCTATTTCCTATCTCTAACCTTCCATCAATCTCAGTTTGTTGACAGAAGGAGAGAGGAGAGGAGAGAGGTGAGAGATGAGAAAGCACAAGACTACAGGAGAGGGAAGAAGTCCAGTTAGTAACAAGTAATGGGATAAGAATGCATACAGCTGGAGAGGGCGAGGTGAAAAATGAAAAGATGCATTTAATGGTGAAAAAATTCAGTTTACAGTACTTTACTTCTTGAATTAATACTTTGGAAGCACATTTAGAAAATGGATTCCTATGGTAAGGACCTAATTGGTCCTTCCAAGTGACAACAGCTTTCATGACCAGTCTTTGCAAAAGAAGAATCCACGCTTATTGTTTCAACTGTATATGTAGTTTATATATTTAATACTCCAGTGATAACGGTTAGTTCCCTTTTCTCATGCTAAAGAACATCTCATTAGAGTGGGAATTGGGCAATATGGGTTCAAATCAACAGACCAAATGGATTTATAGTCCGTTTCCTCTAAACTATAGTGCTGTATATATTTTTGTTCTGTGCAATTACTTATTTCTACACTGTGCCACTGTCTCCTGCTGCGACCTGTGCAATGCTCCACATCAATCACATCTGTATATAAAAAGGTGTATATAGTGTACATTAACTACTTATTCTTATTTATCTTTTTCTCATATATGTTCATCTATTCTTTATTATTTAATGTGCATTTTCCTATCTGTTGTATTGTGCTTTATCTGGAACTGCTGTCACAGCTGAATTTCCCTAGAGTGGGATCCATAAAGTCTAAAATCTAATCTTATTTCAGTGTGTTTCAGTACACTTCTCTCCCCTCCACTGCTGGCTTCTCTGGTCATACTGCCCCCTGCTGCCCATTATGGCTCATGCACTTTTCATATGGAGCATGTCTATACCATCCTTTTTAAAATGCTCTCACGCTAATAGAAAATATAAAAGCATCACAGTATTTAACAAGGCAGACAAAGCGTACTGCTACTGTATGACACTGAGTGTGTCCTTGATATGATCAGGTTTTTGGAGTATCCCTGTAATGTGTTTTGCATGTAAACGTCTTGCCAGGTTTCAAATATTTTATTAACATAGTAATCGCAACTCAGAGGTCCACTTACTAAAACTAGTGAGCAGACCTTTAACCTGTGAATACTTTGCCACAAATACTGATTCCCAAAGTCAACAATGATTGTTTGTTATGCTTATTATATTTTAAGATCTCCACTTCACTTGGTCTTTACAGGTTATAATTTTATTTCACAAAAACTTAAAGATTTTCTTTCTCACAAATGCATTTTTACTCACAACAAAAAACTGGGCACAAGAAACGAACAATAGAAAGAATGGCAGTTTGACATGGTGATCCTCATCCACTTGCAGCCACTTCAAAAGGGTAGTGCTGGGGGAAATCATGGACGACCTTCAGGGCTTCATTATACAGCTCTAAATCTGTGAGACGGATAGACAGAACATACTGCGAGTCAGCACATACAAATGCTGCCGTATTCATCTGTATGTAAAGGATAATAAAGAAGACGTACCAAAAGGAATGCCCTTGTCCTCTCGTAGCATGTTGTATGTGGTGGCCATTATTGCCCCCTTGTTGGACACCATACCAATGACCTCCACAACGCCGCTCAGCTCTTCTTCAAGCTGGAGGAAAATATCACAACGGGATTTTAATACGACTTCCTTGTTGATTGAAAACAGGTCCAGCCTTTTTTGATGAAATAACTGAGCCACTGTTTTCACTGAAGTCTTAATGAAATGAGACTGAAGAGAAATGGCACACACTTTAAGCATTCCATTCACAATGTACAGTGAATGTTCTGAGACGTATTTGACGATGTTGGAAACCAGCGGTGGACAGTAAGTACATTTACTCAAGTACTGTACACATTTGAGGTACATCAAGCCACTTTCTACTTCTACTCCACCACAACATCTCAGAGGGAGATGTTGTATATTTTACTTCACTGCATTTATCTGACAGCTTTAGCTACTGGTTACTTCACAAAGATTTTTACACACAAAACACTATGATGTGTTAATAAAATATGTTTTGTATAAATAAAGTGCCCAACAGTTCATACAAGTATAGCTGACACAATTATTAGATCGACACTGAAATTAACTGGCAACGACTTTGATAGTTTAAGACATGAAGATTTGCTGCTTTTCCTTTTAATTATTTTAAATTATTTGTAATATTTCTGAGCTTTGTACTGTTAGTTCGACAAAGCAAGCACTGTGAAGGGGTCACTTTGGCCTCTGGGTAGTTGTGATGGTATTTCTCACCATTTTCAGAATTTCAAAAATCCATTAAAAGAAAGAAATCAGCAGATTAATCCATAATGAGAAAAAATCATTAGCTGCTCTCTGATACAAAAGTATTAAAAATGAGCTCCACTTCTACCACAGTGAGTACTTTTAATTTTCCTGACTATATACTTACATACTTTTTACTTTATTAACATTTTCAAAGCAGGACTTTTAACTTGTAACAGAATATTACTTTTACTCAAGGAAAGAATCTGAGTACTTCCACCACTGAGATACACACATACCTGGCTGTTTCTAATGAATGCCATTGTTTGCCCACTGTTTTTTAAATTCTTTCCATCATGTCAACAACCCCTGACAAACAGAACCATACTAACAGTAGGCCCACTTTTTACTTTTGAGACGTAAGTATATTTAAAAGCCAGTGTCGTGGCGAAAACTGATTGCCGTCTGCTGGAGCTGTATTGCCCAGTCTCTTCAATCACTTTCTAGCAAGTGAAAAAGCCTACTGCATTTTTTGGGTTGTATTGGCCATTTAAAGGTATTTTAAAAGGTAAAAGCACAAGCTGAGCTGTAATCTGTCAAATATAACTCTTCTGAATGAAATCAACTAATTTCAGGGCAGAAATAACCTTTCAGTCATTTTCTGGCAAGTGAAATACTGCATGTCATGAGTTGTACTGGCCATTTAAAGGTATTATAACAGGTAAAAAGGACTGGGTTGTTTGGTAGGCCTACACAGCCAGTAAAATAATACAGAGTCAGAAGGATAATTGCAAAATTGTCTTCATTTTATATCTACGTTGGCAGTAAGTCATGTTAATTAGGCTACAGCCCGTTTTCCAAATATAAACAAAGACATTACACATACCAAACATCACTTTTCAACAGACGATCATTTTTCGGCACAAAACCTATAACGTTACTTTTGTACTTCGACTAAATTGAAGGCTTTAATAATGAATGAATGAATGAAATATTTAGCAAGGGTATCTGTACTTTTACTCAAGTACAGGATTTGTGTACTTCATCCACCAACAGTTGGAAACACCCAACAGAAGAGTGTTGTTAACTGACCTTCTGGGTCAATCAAAGCCCACAGATTTAACAGTTAGGCCAATGCTGCCCACACTATGGGCCAGACAGGACAGGGTCTGTCACATCAGGGCTGTTGTCTCTAACGATTCTACTGAACGTGGATAAGGATAAACGGCTACACCCCGTTAATTCAATGACAGCTTCAGGAAGACTAACGTTACTCACAGGCTCGTTTAGTTCAACTGTTGCAATCTTTCCTTCTCCATCCGAGACGGTGAACGACTTTCCTGTTGGATGTACCTGGCAGAACAGAAAAGAAGAGTTAGGCATATTTCTAACTGTTAACATAACATTTCCCTCAACCTAGCTTCAAACAGCACTGACCTTTTCAACACGCCCTACGAAGCAGACCGGTCTGCTTATGTGCTGCGACAGCAAAGAGCAGTTTATTCTCGGTTTGGGAACGTCCAGTATGGTCGCCATCTCAAAAGATCTGCTGTTTTGGCGCGACTGGACCCGGGAGAGAGAAATATCACGCGGGAAATGTCTTATGTATTTGTTTCACATGGAAGCTCGCGGGGGCGGAGCGTCTACGTTTACGTTGAAAAACCGCGGGGCTTATAATTATTGTAAACACAGGCAATAAAATCGAACGCACCCAACCTTTCTACGCCATCTCCGTTGTGCTCTAACATTTTATCCGCCGGAAACATCTATGAATAGTTACGCTACATGCTGAGGACAGCATCATTTGCAACAGAACTGTAGGTGGCGTCTGTTGTTTCTACACGAGCGCGGACGTTATTAAAACCAGTGACGTCACGATATCTCAACACAACAACAGGGCGCATCGCGCGGAGGAAGCGGAGGAAGGATAAGGGCAACCTGCGCGACACAGCAGACAGAAGGCGAATTAGGGTATATCCTGTTATTTACGTTGCTTTCTAGGTCTAACTAACTTTTAGCGGAGCCGCATTGAGCTAAAACATATGGTACCAAACTAATTGGAATTAAAACACTAGGGAATCATGATCTGACATCTGAACTGTGTTCTGAACTTCGACAGTAGACAGAACGACAGTAACGTTAAGTCTGTCATTGTCACTTTCTATTGGCACGTGCTTTGTGTTGACTGTTAAAAGACGCCTCTGGAGCCAGAATCATAGAGTCGACGTTTTATAGTTTCATATAAAACTAAAAATAGCGATAAATAGCGATACGTTATGCACAGCCGTGACATTGAGTTGAACTTAGAGGATTTAGAGAATGGATACTGTCAACATCATTTATTTAGTGAATTCAGTACTATGTTTGTTCTTCTTAAACCTTAGTTCCCTAGTACATGTATCGGCTAAATGCTAAAATCTGAGAACCGGAATTTAGCAGCCGAATGATACATTTTTCTTTTCGCGAAAAAAAGCTCCTTTCCACTTTGGCGGCTTTGTGCACAAACAGTTGAACTTCGAGTGTAACTTATCTTATCTTAACCTCAAAGTGTTACTATAACTTGATCAAATAAGTACTGGCAGCGGGCATAACCCAGGTACAGTTGGTCTAACCTGTTCTTTCTTCTGTTGACAGACGCTAATCATGTTCAGTTTCTTTGGACTCCGTAAAGACTCAAAGAAGTCAACACCCGAGAAGGAAGTAGATGGAGGCTTTGTTATCATTGGTGAGAAACATAACCTCATATAAAATTAAACTGACATTTTGGCGTTTGGAAATTCGTGGGTTTTCCATACATTTAAAGCACCAACTAGCAGTGGACTGCCACCAGCCGGTGGACCCACCTGTGCTCACATCTCTTTGTGTAATAGTAAACAAGCATTTTTCAAAGTTTAGTAAGTTGAATGGTTAGTTTAAAGAGTGGCCCCTAACGATCTGGACATTTCTGTAGATGTAATATATTAGACCTACTATTGCTGCTACTAAGTAAGCCATTGTTAAAGTGATAGGATTTTGAATGAAGTTTGGTGTGATGTTCCCCTCACCTCAAAGATCCCCAATGGTGCAAAACTAATGAACTCTAATTAATTATAAATAAGTCTCTTAATGAATACAATCATTTCTAACCCAGTAACTTTGAAAAGTTGATGCTAGCTGGGTTTCAGTTAATAAAAGTCAGAATATTAAAGGTGAGAAGCTTCAGAAATATGTACAGATTAAAATTCAGATGGACATCTAACACGTGCTGTTACAGTACTATTCTATCAGTCACAGTGTTTTGAAGTTACTGAGACAGTGAGCTTTACAGGTGGGTTTTGAAGGAAATAATACAAAAGGAAATATTAGTACAGGAAGTTTAGTCTGCTTCACTGCTGTGCTCCTTGTCTCATGATCATCCTGGGCTGTGACCAAATCTGCAGTGTCAAACATTTCACAATTTCCTGTGTGAGTGTGATTTTTGTTTTGCAAAAATTTTAAACAATTTCTTCTTGAGCATGAAAATTCTTTCTTCTTTGAGATTTTCCCATACACAGCCACCTGTTCTCACATGACCAAAATTCCATACTTAGGTCACTTTTAAGTGAACCCTGACCGTCTGATTCCAGCTTCTTAAATGGAAATATTGCGATGCAGTATTATTTGCTGTTTATCCTTGTGGCTTTAATTGGCAGAGCTGGTGGAGCTGATGGACAGGAGCTGCATGTTAAGTGTCAGGGACAGGCTCTCTTTTTCAGATTGAGGCAGCCAGCTGAGCTCACAGATGTTCACTGTGAGCTCCCTGCTTACCATTTAATCAAGTCCGCTTATCAAAGATTACCTTATAATTAGCAAAGTGTGGGTGAATAGCGTATATCAACTCTTAGCATGTCATTAGTGACGAGGCATCCCAAAAACGGCTCCCTCAAATGTCATCACCAGGGGCTTCGTTAGAGTTGGAGGAGACTTTTAGAGTGTCCCTAAATAGAAAGTTTTCACTTTCACTTTTGTAGCCTCTGAGAGATTTCAGAGAACAGAACAGATGTCCAAAGCTGTGCAGACAGTCTCACGCAGGACTGAAAAACAGGTGGACAGCTGTTCACTGTGTCAGGCAGGACACAGCAAGAAATTTCCATCGGACGATGTCCACAATGAAACATCGGGATGGACGATGTCATCGGGTGCGCGGGCGTTCTCCGGTGTTGTCTGGTGTTCTCGCACAGACTTAAGTCAGTCTGCCGTTTTTTTTTTACTATTAACTTACATTACAAGTCACGATGGATATTTTAAGCACAGACCAGGTAAAGCAACAGTGAACACACAGGTTGCGTCTTTAATAAGCCGACCTGCGGCTCACCTGCTGTCGTGACAACGGATCGCGGGTGGAAGTATATACGGAAAAAAGACGAGTTCTCAGTCTTTTTGGCGACTTTATGAAACATACTGCTGATAGAGGAAATGGAGCAGAATTGGCCAGATGGTGGCGTTTAAGTTCCTGTTAACAGGACAGGATTTTCTGCTGTTTTAACTTGAAGGACAGGTTCAGATTTTTTCAAGTCTTGTCTTAAATCTTGATGGGAAAGGCTCAAACACAATCTTTAGTTTCTTGTAGACGGGTGCGTCGATGGAAATATCCGAGAGAGGCGGTGCAAGCGGGGGAGTTTACCTGAGGTGTAGGTGTGTGTGGAGAAGAGAATTCCGAGGCAGGTGCAAAGCAATAATAAGGATGTTCGTGGTCATTAAAACCTGCTTTCACTGCTTTTTTGGTAAAAGTATTTTTACACTGTGTTTGTACTCACAATCGGGGTCAACAGTAATCAGGTTCCTATTCCTACAAAAGTCAATGAAAGAGGGGAGCGTCCCGTCTCAGGTTGCTGTTTTGTAGGGACAAACATGCCATTCATTCACCAGCTGGATGAGCTTCAGTGCAAACCTTTGGACTCTCTGTTGCCAAATTGAATGAATGACACCAGGAAACCTTTGTTTTGCATGAGGAAAGAACATTCCAAACTTGCATCCTGTTTTGTGACATTATTAACAGTGATGCTATAAGAAGATCTTTTCATTGCTGGTATTGTTGTCTGCGTTGTCAAGAATGTTACTCAGGTTTCGATTGAGCCTCACAGGCAGCACAGTGCGTCCAGCAGCTGCTTGTTTGACCCTGTGCTCTGGGGTCAATCTGTTTTGGGAAAAATGACCATAATTGGCCAGATGGTGGCGTTGTTTACGTGTCTGTTAACAGACACGATTTTCACCTATAAGAGGAGCAGTGTTGGTGTGGGATTTTCTGCTGTTTTTAACTCTAAGGATAGGTTGAGATTTTTTCAAGTCTTGTCTTAAATCTTGATGGGAAAGGCTCAAACACAATCTTTAGTTTCTTAACATATATATCTTGGAAATATCCAAGAGAACCTGCGCTCTCAGTCCTTTTGCTTGCATTAAATAATGGACAGCAACTATATACAAACATGTAATTATATTAAAACAAACTACATGAAAGTGGTCTTGAGGCCCTTCTTTTTACAAAATCAAGACAACACAGTTAATCCCCCTAAAGAGATCATTCTTGGCTGGGCAGGTGTTGTTATGTAATATAATTACTTATGTTTTGATAATGACTTCTATCTTTAGACATCTGGCACCAGCATGGGTTTCATTTGTGCCCTGAATCTATACATTTCTTTTTCCTCTTGTTTCCAATCCAGACAAGAATAGCTACTTTGTTAAAATATTGAAATGGCACTGTTATAATGACATTTTCTGTACCAGGATAATATTGATGAATTATTTTCTTACACTGTTGAACAGCGAGGGGTCTTTTTAAAGCCAGAAGAATCTGTCACTCTACTGAAGATTTTCTGGAAAAGCTAGTGAGATTAAGTCAACATTTGTTTAACAGGGATATTGGATACCTTGGATGGACCAAGTGTACGACACAGCACTCTAAAAACCTTGTGATCCGGATCTTTTATACACCTGCAATAAAAACAAGCTGTTGTATACATGACTCCCAACTCACACTTGATTAAATCTGTTTTACAGGCACATCCTACAGTCAGATCCAGAGTTTAGTTAAACTAAACCAAAATCAAAATGGTCACAAATGTGTATTACATGATCTACAAATGAAAAATACCACATAAATACCAAGCCATTTGAACACACGTGAAATTGTTTTACAAAAGCGCACATCCTCACTAAAAGTGAACGGATGGCCAAAAGCCAAAAATGGCATATGCGAAAAAATATTCAGACTTATAAAACAATGCGTACGCACACTTCCAAGTAATGTTCCTTTTATAAATCACAATGATCTTTGGTGAAGCTGAAGCATGTTGTTTGGTGGGTAAAAAAACGCACGTTGGCGCTTTGGTGCACCGGAGGAAAGGGGGCACCGGAGCTCCACCCCTTTATAACCGATCTGCAGGAAGGGGCATCCCTCTTGAGTCGTGACGTCGCTGGCTGGAGGGGGACACACGCGTAAGAGGGGATGACCCAGGTACTAATTTAGATTCCGCCGTTTGAAAAGAGAGTAAACCAAATGCATTCCACAAACAGTCCGTTCACTGAACGAGGCTGCCGATAGTTTAAAAGAAAGACTTGTTGTAGACTAAATAACATAAGCTTAAAAATTTACTTAATAAAATAGTGTTTTTAATTTTCCATAACATGTTTTTACAAGTAGCGCATCACATCCGCACGCTGGCGCACAGCTTTTGGCTCGATAAGGAAACAAACGTGAGAATAGGCTATATGAAACCATGCACTGGTATTTGCATCAATTTAATGTAGCCTCATTTGTCGTCCTGTTCACCTTATTTATGAGAATAAATTGCACTGCATGCAAGTATTAATTAATATGATTCCTGATTAAACTGTCCAACATATTTGAGGCGTTCTTTGCAGAAACAGATATCTGTTTGTGTTTATTATCCTAAATCTGGATCTTTTTGTGTGCGCTGCAAATGATCTTAAATTATGTTAGGAAAATCAACCAAAAGGTGTTTGTTTATTCAGAAAGGCTTTAAGCCTGTAATACTCAGAGGTAATATTTCAATTTATTTTACACAATAGTAGGCCTCTTCATTTCAAACCGTTTCATCCTTCTGCCATGTGAGTCGCCGTTTCTCATTCTCGTCTTTATGTGCGTACGCAAGGTTCAGAGTTTCTTTACAGGACGCACATTCTCCTGTCAAGTTTGTTTTTTATAGATCACAACCTTTGCTTGGGAAGTGGAGTACGCACGTTTCAAGCCCTGTTTTGTACGTACGTATGTTTAGAAATGAGACCCAAGATCAATTTCGCTTTCGAAAAGCTTCCTGTGTGTACAAATGTCTAAAAATATTTGTTCTTTTGTATTTCCTTACAGATTGTTATATGTGTGTGCACTGGTCACTTGATACCCATGCATCAGGTTACATTTGCGTGTGGGGTTTTGAGACTCCAGCTCCACACAGATCCACAAACGCATGCTGCGTTTAAGTACTGGTGGAAAACTAGGACATCTGGGCTTTCTGTGAATTTGTGTAATTTCAAATTGGGCCAGACATTATTCTAAATAGAATAGCTCATCACCCCTCAATTACCAACTATAGACTCTGTACAGTGGCCTATAAATGTAAATATATGGATTAAATAAGCTACTGCTAGGTAGCTTATTAACCATATATGCAACCTTAAAAACCATGAACGCCTCCGGAGCAGAGTGTTTCAGGGCCTGGGTCTGGTTGAATCCCTGAGGAAAGCGCTCCTCGTCCGTTGGGGAAGCTGCTCTGGAGACACATGGGGCTGAGATCGGAGACATCTGTGTGATTGAATTAATTCTGTAGACAAAGTCAGTTTGGCCCTGAAGAGGAAGAGCAGAACAACAGCATTTACCTTCTCTCTTCCCATCAGTGCCTCTACTCACTCAGTGTTTCAGCCACTTGACGAAGGAGTTCAAATTAATTTGCTCAGTGACAGCCGCCTGCTGACCCCAGCAAAACCTTAGAATAGGTAGGACATGGACCAAGAATAACTGGCAGACTAGCAGATTTTATAACTGTGTTGAGGCATAAATGTCAGCTCAGAATACTTAATACAGTGAAAGAGTGTTTCCTAATGCTTTTTAATCAATTCATGTGAAAACCTCTTGTACATAACAAATAATCCCCCTCATTGACCTGGTTTGTGCAGAAGAAAAATAATTACTGTAAATCAAGTCTCGGCACAAAATCTCTGTTGCTGTGTTGTGTTACAGTAATGGTAGTGGGTCTATGAGGCTGAAAGGCTTACTATAAAGAAAACACATTTTAAGATGCATTCAGGTTTAGTCATCACAGAAGGTTCAACAATTGATTCTGTGGGAATGTCTGCACATTTCAGCTTGAACCAAACAAGTCAGCCTCATGATGCTGCCACAGTAACAGTCAGGGGATCACCAAAAGTTCTCAGAGTACATCAGCTGTGAATGCCTGAACTGAATTTTGTACCAGTCCATTTAGTAGAGGTGAAGATATTTCAGTGGATAAGTGAAAATAGCGTGCTGGTGGCACTAGATGACAAGTCAGAGAATTAGAATTGACCGTATGTGGATTAGAAATATGAAATCCACTGCAGTCCAAAGTGGTGGACCAAGTGACATTGCCGTCCTTGTAGCTAACCAGTCATTTAGTGTGGCTGCTGGTTGTCAGGTGAAAGCTGGAATTACAAACTGTAGACTTTAAGGTACTGGATAGACTGGCTGGCATTAATGTTCTCAATTAAAAGATAAATTGTTTGGTCTATAGTTTGTCAGAAAAATACCCATCACAGTAAAGGAAAAGGCCAGTAAAGGCCGGCAATTTGAACACACCACCAGTTGTCACTCCAAGATGTTCAGTTCCACAAATAATCACATCAAAGTAGTTACAGGTTAAAATTCTGTTAACCGACTAAGTTCAGCTCTAATAACATCCAAGTCTGCATATTTTTGTTATATATTTATTTATTTATTTATACTGTATTTTGGAGATTTTAAGGGTCACACTAGGGCTGCAGCTGATTTTTAAAAAACACAATTTCCAAGAGCCCAAGATGACCCATTCAAAGCAGCAAAGCCTCATATTTGAGAAGCTGGAATGAACAAAGTGTTTTTAATGAATCAGTTAAAAAGTAGGCTAATCAAAATAGTTGTCGGTGAACTGACATGGAGCCAATTTACTTCAAATCACACTCTGTTTATGTCATGCCTCCCTGTTTCCTGAGCTTAGCATAATGATTTCCATTTTAAAGCTTTACTCTTTGCTAGCAGCAGCTGCTATCCAGGCATTTCAGTACAGTGTTGAAAACAATGATGAAGGGCTGGTAACTGAAGAGCTGATCTTGAACTTTGTTTTAATGATCTCATTTTGATTAGTGAGACACTTTAATACATAGCTTGAGTAAATTGTCAATAAACTTGTGTCTGCCACATTTGTTGTGCAGGAGAGACGGTTGACGATCAGAGGAGGAGGATGCAGAACCTGAACGTCGCACAGCTGTCTACAAACGTCGTAGTGCAGCCATCAAAGGTGAGCTGGTAGAGGTTTACAGTTCATGATAGAAAGTTCCCCCTGTGGCATTGTAATCAGCATCAGTAATCACCTATTTAGCATTCAGCGCTTCTTTGTTCGGGCCTTGTTGTTTGAAGTTTTAAAGCCAAAGTCAGCAGCTACTCGAGTCCGAGTCTCATACCCATGTCCCCATTTCTGCCTTGGCCACACTGGATGGCCATCTACTCAACTGACGTCCTCTGCGTAAGCGGAAGTAACGTACGAAACAACAAGATGAAGCCACAACAACAGGCCAAATGCATTAAAAAAACACACCAAACACGCTGTCTGAGAAATAAACCCAGTCTGTATTGTTTTGTTGTTGTCCGCATGCCAAGGTCTTTGCAAACTTCTAGGCATGGGACGTGCGTTGTTGCCTCCCACCGGTTAAAAACAACAATGCGGTTGGTCTTTGCAAACAGAAATGATGTCCGTGTTTATTTTGCACATAGAGCAGGGAAGTGAAATCTGGTGGTGTTCACTCGAGATGCATTCTAATGCCAGGTGTGAACTGAAGTACTTAGAGCTGTCCACTTGTGATCACATCAACCAAGACGCATGTTAATCAGTCAGCAATTCAGCTCTTGGACCAGTCGCTATGAGCATCCCAGCTGGCCTTGTCCTGTGTGGCTCATACTACAATGTCCACTGCTGTGATGTTGACAGGTGCTGAGCTAACTTGCCAAAATGTGTCATTACACATTTCACCAGGCTGGCTTTAGGACTGAGCTGAGGCAGAAGCCTCCAAAATGCTCTGCTGGCCTTCTGGTTGTTCTTAATTTAAGAGTCTTAATACATGGCTTCATTGCTTATTTTCTTAATAAGGAACAACTGTCAAAAAGGAATTTTCTGACTGTGTTTGTGTGTGTGTGTGTGTGTGTGTGTGTGTGTGTGTGTGTGTGTGTGTGTGTGTACACATTTGGTCCATATGGCATCCTGGAGCTGCCACATGTCACACAGTAAGTGAGTGGCTCATCCCTCCAGTTTTAATCACGTGGTGCAACAGGAAAGAACTGAGACGCAGCAACATTATACCCTCACTCCAAAGCCTACATGTGCAACACACACTGTTCAAAATGTCCAGATGTAGATTCAGACCAACCAAAACCTGTTAACCTAAGCTAAGCTACAGCCTGTGCATTCTAACACTCATCTATCTCATAGTGCTGTACAGTTTGACAACCAGTACGTCCTCAAACAAATGAACAAATATGTTGTTTGTAATTGCTTTCCAAAACATTTTCAAAACTGTACAGTGTAAGTTCTTTGGAAGAAGCTAGTTCGGTATTCTCTGTATGGATTTCATGGCAGAGGCTGTGAAGAGACTAAGAGAAGACGTCAGAGGAAGTGAGGGAGTGAAAAAGAGAATGTGACGAGCAAGCAACCGGACAAGAGTAAATATCAGCCAGGGAGCGGGCAACATAACCTGGGTGAAATAAAAGGCTGAATGACAGACGCCGAGCTGGCATTCTTTCTATGTACACAGTTGGACTAGTAAGGAATATTGCTATGTCTTGTGTTTGGCTGTTAGCAAAGTTGGCAACTTGCTAGTTTTTGTAGTAATCTAATCTCAACAGTCCACAGCTGTCCTTATTTACGACAGCGGTGATCACACCACATTTTACATAATGTTGCCTTACACATGATAAATGATTCCCAGTCTCTTCCTCACAGTGAGGAAAACAGTTTAATCATTTTCGAATCGGATCAGTACTCGGCATTGGCCGATACCCAAAGCCTGGTATCCGTATCGGGACTTGAAAAAGTGGTATTGACACATCCCATGTCTAATTCATGCTGGTTCCTGACGGATAAGTCATAATTTGCATGGCTGCTAGATATCTTTGTGTTTTAAATGTAAGTAGTCTTTTCTTATGCATTGGGGTCAATGACGTGACGCCTACATTTTGTGTCCAACTGGATTTTTTTCTCACAAAAAAAAAGGTTGAAAGCATAAAAGCATACCATATGAACGCGGGACGTCTCCCATATATGTACTCACCTTTAACTTTAAAAAACATTAGCTTTTTGATAATTGAAGTGTCAAAATGTCATGCCGTCCGGCCATGACTGCTGTTTTGAAAACTTCTTTGAAATTACTTTAAATCTATTCAAAATTGTGTTTTGCCCTATTTGGCATGAATTCCAAAGTGTTTTGTCGTCCCTTACAAAATCGCAAAGCATCTGTATTTATATTTCCATAATAATACACAAACAAACTTTGTCTGATGATGTCCATTTTATGAAATATCATGTGGGGCGACCATCAACAAACGACCACTTTTATGTTGAAATCCATTCAAAGACAGGAAGTTGAATAATATTTCTCATGGACCCATTGAAACAGCAAGTAGGTTTTTAACTCTTTCTCAAATCTGGAAAAATTTAAAATTGTAACAGCTGGTATGTAGTTGCCACTTTTGGATATCATGTGGTATGACCTCAGAAAAACAATTAATATAAAGTTATTTCTACCAATATTTGTTTTGATTATAAATTTCATCAAGTCCTTTTGTAGGAAGCTAGCTTGTTTTGTTTAGGTGGCCTATCCTCTGCATGTAACTTTTGATTGAATTAGAAAATATCATGTGGTACGACTGCTGAAAAGTGGTTTCCATGATTGGCAATTTAGTTTTTGTCCTTTAATATTCAATTTATGACTTTTACATATACAGTACTTTTATTGTAGTATAATTTGGAATAGATTTTTCTGCAATTTGACACACTTTTTCTTACATTTCAGAAACAACGGATTATTTTTAGTTTTTGTACAATATCATGAGAAAAATGCCTCAAAAATATTTAGAACTTGTAATTTCACTTTGGTAACAATGCAATATTAGTAATATTTAATTAATTACCAGATGCTACTCCCAAGTAAAGAAACACTGCTCGCCATGGACAGCATGTTAATTTTGACCCTGCAGCAAGAGCGGAGTCGCTAAAAGAAGCAAAAATTGTTGCGTCTTTAGGAAAATCTAAAATGAAAACTAAATGAAGCAACATGTTGCTCTTGTGTGTGTTTCCATTTCTTCGGAGGAAATGCATTTTTTTGTGAACATGTTGGTGTAGGAGCCCGTCCTCACTTGATTTATTGTGTTGCTTTACGACCCATCTTTATGTTTTTAACGACAGGAGAACCACGTTCGATTCCTCTGCGAAATCAAGTAAATTTAGAGTTCTTTTCAGTTTCAAGCCAACTTTAGCCCAAACAAAATGTAGCAAAACATTTATTTCAACGGAAATGGTGTGCCTTGAACATCCTGTTGCGTACGCCCGCCACTGGACTTCACTGTCTTTTAAATGTGGCTGCTGATTGGGTAACACCTCTGACACACCCAATAAATGAGAAAAACATACTTGCAGTTAATGAAATTAGATTAAATATATTGTCATGTCATTTAGAGCGACTGCTTATCATGTGGTGCGACCAATAATAACAATAACTGTATTAAATTAAAAATAAAATATCTCATTCCTGTGACTGAAATATTAATTACTGATACAGTATTTTTAAGTGAATGGTATTTTTTAAACATTTCTATCAGTTTTATGCAATTTACAGAGAAAATTAATCAATTAACTACATTTAAGAAGGGGATTGTGACATTATAGAGCAAAAATATTTAAATCATTATTTACAAAAACCCCAAAGAAAAGCAAATACATTGTATCTAAAACCTTTTATATTACTGAGAACTTGTAAAAACTGTTAAGCATGTTACGGAAATTAATTTATTTTTAAAATAAATTATGGTCGCACCACATGACTGCTGTATACATCTGACCTATAGTATATTCATATTTAGATTACTGTCTATACTACATATATCTGAACTGTATTGCACTATTTGTACTTAGAGTATACCTTCATATATACAGTATATATACCTGCTTATCCTATAGTATTGATTTCACACTGTCAGCACTGCTCAGTTGTACAGAGTGATGTGAATCTATTTTTGGGTGAGAATACAGACACCAGCTGCAGAGAGCACACTAACCAGAGACCAACCAAAGTTTCAAGTTTTACGCCATAGAAACCCTGTTTTGCTCATCTCATGCACGCACACAAAGGCATGCATGCCAGGCAGGTGATGCGATACAAAGTCCTCACAATGGTGTCACGCTATTTCACTGATCAACGGGTGACCTTAACACGCCAGGAAAAACAGCAGTGCACCAGCCAAGGCGGCAAAGAAGAAATTAATGAATATGGATATAAACAATGCTGTATTTAAAATAATAAAAAAATTGGCTTTGCAAATGTTTATGAGGAAGGAAATTCACTCAACACTTTAGTTAGAGCTCAAGGATACACACAATGAGTTTGTAAATGCGACAGGGCGGCTGATCTAATCTAATGTTTAACATTTTGACCTGCAGCAAAATGAATGCTGGTAGAAACTGCTGATTAAGGTAGTTTAGGAAATATTAAAAAACTTTTTATGAAGCTTGCTGCATTAAGCCTTGTGACTGGTGGGGCCTGATGTGTGCTGCAGGCACCCAGTGACGCCACACACCATAATTCCGGTGTGTTGTTCTGCACTTTATTGTTTTACCTTCACTTATGTTCCGCCTGTTTGTGCTCTGTGAGCCTGTTACAAAATACCAGCATGTTCAGTGTGAGGGTTTAAGGGTTTGAAGCTTTTCTTCCTCATACATGATTTAAAATACATAGTAACATTTCTTTGGGTTTTTTAACTGTTTGGTTAGATTAAGCAAAACATTTGAAGAAGTCACCTTTCTGTCATTTTATAGACAAAAAATGAATCAAGTAATCTAGAAAATAATTGCCAGATTAATTTATGGTGAAAATAGTATTTCAGAGACTAAAATGTTGCACTTCAGTGCCACTGGAGGTCAAAAGCTCCTCAAGGTGGTTTTGACTGGTATTGTAATGGGTTGATTTGACTGTTACGTCAGCAAAGTGTCTTTACATTTACTGAAGTGTGAATTTTACAATTGGCTTTTGAAAG